CCGATCACCCCCCTGTTCGATGTAACCTCTGCCCCCCAAACCCTCTAGTGCGGCAATCCCAGCATTCCCGTTTCATTTACTCTGACGACGGGCTAGTGTCGCCAGCTCGAAAATTCATGAGTAAAACTCGATTTCCGATGAGCCTTTTCTTCTTTGGAGTAATTAATGCCCGTAAAAAAAAACAGTAGGTAACCCTGGGTAAGGAATGAATGAATGAAAAAGCAAACGACACTCGGAAATCTGTGAATGCGAAAAAACTAAGAGGAAAAAGTAGCTTATGTAGACCCACTCATATACCTCTAGTCCCAGCATTTTGTCCCGCAAAAACGGTGGTTATAGAGTTTTTGGGGGTGGGGTAATAGGATAGGCAGCGAAGGAAATTTTTAGAAGTGGAAAGTGAAAAAAATATAGTCGAAGTTTCTTCCCGTGGCCACCGAGAATAAGTTGTTTCGCATGTAAAATGAAGGTGTGCGCGAACTATGCTAATTCAACTCCAGAACGGTAAGTTGGACCTCAGGTAACTTGAAGTAGACGACCTCCTAATCGCCAGTTCAATTTTTCAGGAAATTCAAGAAACCTGCAATCTGATAGTCGGGTTTTTCCGCAAAAGGTTGAAGGATAATACAGATTAGGAAAATCTACAGGTATAAATCAACAACACTTTTAAATACAGAAAAAAATGCATTTAGCATTTATAAAAGTATATTCCACTGCGTGTCCCAATTCCCCACTCATAAAACCCTATAACCACCGTTTTGTAGGAAAACATGCAGGAAGTAGGGATTAATGAGTGGGCCCACATAAGCTACTGTTGCCGAATAAGATAATGTAGGACGCAAAACCTACCAAGGCAAGGTTCTTTTCATGTTTATTTATGCTCTGGATGAGGGCGTTGTCCCTTCTGGCGGAGTAGGTTGTGTGCGGTGCATCCTCCTTCAGGACTACGTTATCATTCAACGCAAAGACGTCCTCGAGGAGGAAAGTCTAGCAGGAAGCAAGTAAAATCTCCACCGCAAACTCACATCCAGCTTGTTGAAAAGAGCATTTTGACGGCCCTGCAGCTTGACCTTCAGTCTGTACATGAAGGCCTCCAACTTCTTCGGCGATATACTCAGTCCATACTAGTAGAAAGTCGGGTTAGGGGGGACGGGGAGGGCTCACCTTCTCCAAAAGAGCTTCGCGAAATCCGTCAATCAGCTTAGCCAGGTTGTCAGTCACGACGTTAAAAACTTTAAATAGGGCGTGTGAGGCAAAGACACCTACGGTCATCGGATAACTGAAGAGGTGCGAAGCCCACCAGACCCGTCACGTACTCCTGCGCGACTTCAATGGGAACTTCTACAATCTCCTCTTCTGCTTCGGCTTCCACCATTGCAGACATAGGCAAGGTTTAGCGTAAGTAAAGAAGGCAGCTGTACTCCTAGACTAGAAGCAGACCTATAAAAGCAGAAAAAAAAGTAATTATGCGAGATCAATAGAATTTACGAAATAGGGCAACTGGGTAAAAACGGCACACACACACACACACACACACACACACACACACACACACACACACACA